CAATAAACGCGTTTCTCAGCACCGGAAGGTCTAGCCCCCGGGAGTTGCGGCCCAGGAAACTACTCAGACTGGTGCCAGCGAAGGTTGTCATCATAGACATAAGAATTCAAGCTCGAAGCGACTTTCGCGTTCAAAACCCTAAAACGCAGAAAACAAATAGGACTCTCAGTACCTTGTAGCTGTCGATGCGTATTTCAATGAGCCCCAGAATCATCGCGAAAAGGGGCGCCAGCGGAAACACGACGGAAAAAAGCGTGACATCGCCGAACAAAACCACGATCTCGACCCAATCCTCAAAAGTCCCGTCTAGCTCGTGGTCGCCGTAAGGCTGCTTATCCATCATGTCAGTGAGCAGCAGCTTCAGCGACCGCCACGGGTGTTGTTTCTTCGAAATCGATGTCGTATCCTTCACTTCCGCACCACTTTCCATCGGGGCCGCCTTCTTCCTGAGCGGACTTGTTTCCAACTCAACGGAGGTAGTAGTGCTTGCGACCTCCGATACAACAGTACAACTAGACTGCTGCTCGTCTAATGCGGTCCCCGCGACGAGCGTAGAACCAGCGTACGTTCTGCCAAAGTCCCGCTCCAAATCCCAGTCCGGCGCTCTCGGTGCTGTGCTGATGGGAACGCATGCCTTCGATTTATCACAGCTATCGCTGGTCTCGAAATGAAGCTTCACCGGCGAGAAGTGCTGCTGTTGTGCAATCGCGCCTCCAACCGGGGCGGCCACCGAGGCAACATCTTGCGGTCCTGCAGGAGCGCCGCTAGTGCGGTTGCAATCCCCTTCTTCATCAGCAGCGGTCGTCTCGGCACTACTGCTGGTTGTGGCAGCTCCAGCTGGTGATCCACCAAACCTCCTCGACAGCTTCGCGGACACCACTGCACCTGCGGAAGAAAAGTTCGTCAAGTTGCAGTGAGTTCATATTTCCAAAAAGAAAAAAGATTGAAAGAAACAAAGTAACGCGTCCGTATTGCAAGCAGCACTCTCACGGCAGGCAAAATGAATCGTAGATCGGCAAGGACGACGGGCCAATTCCGAGTGAAGAAAAGCAAATAGAGTGGACCCAAAACAACGATGCACGCACTTCTTCGGCGCAAACCGTCTGTCAGCTCCATGGTTTGACCCGGCAGTTTGGCCGCAGAGCGACCCTACGCAATGGCTTTTCGCAACAGCAGAGATGCTGTGCAAGAATCCAAGTATGCGCACCTGCCACGACAAGGAATATGAAGCAGGACCGCGCAGGAGGCTTGCGCCGTCAACCACGCGATCTTTTTCTAGGACGCTACTGGAGCCGAAACACCACAGGGAGCACAGAAGGCCCAGAGGTGCTCGAAGCGAGTTCAGTATCGCTGTGCAAGAGGAAAAGTGCTGCACAGCATGGCATCCGAAATCTACATTTCAAATACA